GGGGGGGTGGATTTGGGGGTATTAACCCCAACCACAAAAAAGGTCCACAAGGGTTGAGAAACACTGCTCTACTCAGTGCAAGATAATTAAATGGAGGGTGTCCCATTTGGACTTCACCCTGTTTGTAACTCTGCAATCTAACCAGCATCTCACAGGAGCAGAACCAACCCCCTTATTTGATCCATGCAAATGAGGGTTAGCTTGCAGAAATGTTTGGCTCCCAAGGGGCTAAACAGAAACAGGACATGCTCCACATGTGTAAAGGAGGAAGGAAGAAAAATCACTCCTTGGAGAACATGGACAAGGTAAGCCACAGGGCCAGAAAGGGCCAACATCTCCCCCTCCCCAAATAATTAAAACAGAGGACTCCAAGCACCACAAAGTGGACTAGAAGGTAAACTTCTAGACTGCAGTTCTGAGCTTTTTCTAAAGCTTGGACCCAAACAAACAAACAACCCAACATCCAAGCATTTCTGGCAAGGTGGAAGAGAAATAATAGGAATAATATCAACTTGTATACCGCCAGACTCTCAAAAACTCTTAGATATCTCACGTTTCCATCACCAAAGGCTACAGCAAGGTGAGGTTGAACAGCTCTTCCCCAATATGTATGTTGGGATAGTACCCCATTCCCACCCCCCCACTATTAAGATAAATACTGTAACCTGCACACACAATCTCCTTCTTGGTATGGCTTTATTCTTATTTATAAAAATATAATTTTACCAAACAAACAAGAATTCAGACCTGGGGAAAAAGGATGTCCAAGTCAGATCCGATTCACTAGTGGTGAGAAGTAACGGAGCAGATTCCAAAATTCGGCCCCTGCAACCCCACTTAGCAGTTTCGTAAAAAACTGATTACGGGCCATCAAGTCGCTTTCAACCCCTAGCAACCATATAGATAGATTTTGCTCCATGACAATCTGTCTCTAACTTGCTCTTTCAGCTCTTCCAACAGTGTACCCATTGCCTCTGTAACTGAGCCCATCCCCCTTGCTGCTGGTCGTCCTCTTCTCTTTCCCTCCACCTTTCCCAGCATCAGAGCCTTCTCCAGAGAGCTGGGTCTTCCCATAATGTGCCTGAAGTAGAATAATTTGAGTCTAGTCATTAGTGCCTTGATTGAGAACTCTCGGTTGTTTTGTTCGATGGTCCATTAGTTTTCTTGCTTGTTCATGGTATCTTCAGGAGTCTTCTCAACACCAAAGTTCAAAGGTGTTTCCTCTTTGGCTTCCAGGGAGCGTCACAGGGAATGCCATGGCTTGCACGATTTTGATCTTTGTAGGTATAGAAACATCACGGCATCTGAATATCTTTATAACAGAGCAAAGTTTCCACAGATCAGCCAGGTAGGAAAGTGGACAGGATTTAGGAAGTGTTGGTGTTGGAGGACATGTTTAGACAGGGGCTCCCTCTAGTGATAACAAGCACCATGTCACTCCAGACCAGGGTTTCTCAACCTTGGCAACTTTAAGATGGGTGGACTTCAACTCCCAGAATTGCTGGGAGAATTCCGGGAGTTGAAGTCCACACGTCTTCAAGTTGCCAAGGTTGAGATACCCTGCTCCAGACGATTCAAGTCAAGGGAAAATCACCAAGCCCCCTCTTTGCTCCCACGCCTTTTGAAAACTCAACCCAACTCTTGAATTCTTGATCCATGTTTGGATCTTGAGGAAAATCCATTTGAAGCAAGAGAAACGAGCTGTGAAACCCACATCTCCATCTAGGTCAGCTGGTACGTCCCATTACATATTCAACTCCTAATATCAACCAACTGGACTCTAGATCTAATGGAGTTCCCCTCCCATAATCCTCCAGCAGGCAAGGGAAGGGGGGATCCAACCTATCCGTAGACGGGCAGGTAAGGTAAGGCTGTTTCTAAGAGAATATTCCATTTCAGTATGATTAGAGAGGAACGTTGGGACCGATCTCTGTTGATGGTTTGAAAGAAGGTCAGACAGGGTTTCTAACACTCTATGTCCTACAACCCCCACCTTCTGTTTTTGAGAAAACGGTGCTGTGCTGGTTGCTGTGTTCTGGTGTGGTTGGTCCCAAAGTGAGCAAACTTCCCTTGGGTGTGTTGTTCAGTTCTGGCATTCACGTGCCAAGGAGCAGGTGTTGATCCCTGTTGCAGCACCCAGGAAGCATTCATTTGGTTCTCTGTTTCTTCCTGGGTCTGTCTTCTTCTTTGCCATCACCTGCTTGGTTCCCACCTGGGTCTGCAATCCTCAAGATGGGCAAATGCAGCTTTTCAGCCCAAGTCCAGGCCCAGAGGCATTTTTCCACAAGGTGAGCTGTCCACGTTCCCGTGGCGCTACCTAACAAAAATACAAACATTGCAAAAGAAAAAATCTTTGTTTCAGCTCCTGGGGCTGCCTCGCCAAGAGAAAACCTGACCCAGAGCTCTGTCTTGGCACCGGAGATGAAAAGAAAGCAAGGATGGTGGGGGCAGAATTGCGTGGATTGCAAAACGGAGATGCTGAGGAATACAAGCATTGTGCTTTGTATTCATTTCGTCCTAGGAGCGAATGTGTTCAGAGTCGCAGATGGCCTTTGAAACCCTGTTTTGTAGTCCTCAGACCGCAGCACGGCTGAACACATCTGGCAGAGTTCCTCATTCCTTTGGGATGCAAACTGCAACCCTAAATGAAGCCTATTCCAATTGGAAAACAGGGAGCACCCAAGGGCCCCTCCCACCTGCGTAACATGGCTCCACCCACTTTGTGGCCTTCGGATGCCCCCCGAAATATCATGGGTGTTCTTTGGCCACCAAAAGACAGGTAGGCCATCTTTTCTTATTAAAACGGTTCAAGCTGCTACATCTTCTTTGCCTAACTCTAATGGATAAACTACACATGGCTAATTTCGATAGGTGTAATTTATGCATTTTTGAAAAGGTGTTTTTCCTCCCCCACCCCCATTAATAGATAAAGTGACACAATACGTTTGCATCACTTTATATCATGACGTTGCAATGTTTGGGCCAAGGTTTCATGATATTTTGCAAGAAGGTTATTTTTTTTCCTAATTGGAAAGGTTCGTTTATTGCTTAATACTTGATATACAGGCCCAGTGACCCTATTTTCTTAGGAAAAATAAACGGGCAAACTTGAAAAAGGGGCAAATCTGAAAGAGGTTCAGAAAGATAAAAAGTAAGAATAATTGTTTACGTTTATAACTTTCCTTTGCAAAGCAAAATTCAAGAGCAAAACCAAGAAACTAAATAATTAAATTACATAAATCTAAAGGGCAGCTTTCTGAAATAAAGGACTGTCTTTATAAGAAAGGGCATATGGTCACTGTATGTATAGGTGCCTAGATAATTCATAATTGTTTAATATTCTGTTGCTCCTTGTTTGTTATTCATGCTTCCATTTTGTTTGTTTACCGTTCTTGCATTTTGCTAGCTAATATTTTCTCTACATCCTCGCACGTTTTAAAAAATAAAAAACTTGCCATCCCATAAAGAAAGCAAACAAAATCTTCCCTTTAAAAAAAAACGCACCAGCCGTTAACTCCGCTTCTACAAAGAGGTCCTGAAAAACAAGATTTTCCCAC